GAGGAGGAGGAGGAGGAGGAGGAGGGAGGAGGAGGAGGAGGAGGAGGAGAGGAGGAGGAGGAGGAGGAGGAAGAGGAGGAGGCTCGGAGGAGGAGGAGGGGGAGGACGAGGAGACGAGGACGAGGAACGAGGAGGATTCTCGCCCGACCGACTGGGCGGTTGCCTCCCTCCACCTGCTTCTCATTCCTCCCTCTTCCATCCTGCCCCTCCTCCTCCTCCTCCTCCTCGAGCCTCCTCCTCCTCCTCGAGAGCCTCCTCCTTCCTTCCTCCTCCTTCTCTCCGAGGCTGGGTGAGGAGGCTCGGAGTCCGAGCCTCCCTCCTCCGAGCCTCCTCGTCCTCTCCTCCGCCTCCGCCTCCTCCTCCTCCTCCTCCTCCTCCTCCTCCTCCTCCTCCTTTTCCTCGTGCCTTCTCGCTCGCTCCTCCCTCCCACTGCCTCCCACCACCTCCCATCCTCCGTCCTCCTCCCCCTCCTCCGCCCCTCCGCCTCCTCCTGCTTCTTCTGCAGCTTGCCTTTCCTCACCCTCGCCCTCGCCCCGATGATCCCGATGCGAGGCCCGCCCGGCCGCCGCCCCGGCCGCCCCAGCCGCCGGGCAGCCGCCGGCCGCCGAGGCGAGGCCCGAGGCGGAGTCGGAGTTCGACGAGTTCAAAGGAAAGGCCGGGCCCCCTCCCTTCCCCTCCCCTCCCCCCCCCCTCCCACCCCCAAACCCTGGACAGAGGCATTATGAACCTCATCGTGTACCTTGTGAGACGGTTGGTGCGGCGTCGCCACTTCCTCCGAGACACGTTCGTGAGGAGCGGCGCTGACAGCCAGTTCATTTCCGAGGGGGCAGGTCGTGCAGGGCACTCCAAATCCTCAAAGCAATGTTTTGCGGGATTCGACCTCGAAGTTCTCAGAGACAGTAGTTTCGATTTTTTTTTACATTACCTTCCAAAATGATTGAGCCGAGAGTTTTTCGATTGTGATTTTACGTATCAACCTCAGGTTGCAGTGCTATCATGGACCGCCAAGACAGGGGCGACCATGAAGATATTGTTGCTATGCTGCTTATTGGGACGCCCGCGCACACACTCTCCGAGATGGACCTTGGGAATCCAGAGGCTCGGTGCTACCTGAGGTCTTTCCAGCACGAGGGCCTTGCCACCTGTCCAATCCTCGATGTGCAGGAATTCAGCCAGCCAGTTCCCCTCTACGAAGTTACTCGTGATTTTCGGGCACTGTATGCACCAATTGATGCTAACTTGTTCTTACGCGTGCTCCCAGAAGCAAAAGCCATCAAAGACAAATGGCGCGCGTCAGGTTTCAGTATCAGATCTTCGCAGTGGTTGTTTCGCCCACAGATCCCGATGGACGACCTTATACTCAGCCACTCGTTCAAGAATATTGTTCTTTTGCCCGGCGCAGCAGCAGGGACGCAGGCCAACAATCAACTCATTGACAATTTTGGGCTACCTCGTGATTGCGCGCCCAGGCCAGATTTCACAGAAGAGCCGTCGGAACTCAAGGCATCCACAATCGACCTCGTGTGCGCTACAATTGGGAATTGTTTCGCCGCCCTGCCAGAAAGAACCAAGAGTGATTATGCTAAGTCGGTCCAGGAATCCTTACGATTTCTTGGGAATCTGTCTGACTCCCTTCGCACTGGACCAGGGCAGGGGCGCCTGAACGCCCAGATGGTTTTGTCAATGTCAAAGATGTTGCAGACGATCCTTCTTGCCTCGCGCCTTCAGGGCGCCAGGCATTTGCTGGGAACGCTGGAGGACAGCATCAAGTTCACCTTCCACGAATCCATCGCGGGACCCATTGTTAAGCAGCTTCGAACGCCAGGGACAGTCCCATCACCAGCTACTGTCAATCGTTACCTGCTCACACTGGACGCTGCGATTATGAAAGTGGATCAGGACCGATACAGTCTCCAACTTCCGAGGGCGACTGCCGAATACTGTCTCATGGATAGCTCTCCGCTTCTGGGAGTTGATTGGTTGTTAACAGAGATTTATCGATGCCATGACGTCGTCAGGGCCTACGACCTCGGAAGGAAACTGGAGGGGTGCAAGCCATCGTCTGTGCAGCTGGACAGGGATAGCGCGAGCGAGGCAGACGCCGATGATGAACACAGGGCGCGTGATTACCGGAGCCTCACACAAGAACTCACCCGCCTATACGAGCACCAGATGCTTGCAGCAGTAGGAATGGGATCGAAAGCCACTGGCCTGCTGGACAAGTTACACGCAGCTGTTCACCAATTCAGATTGGCATCCCACTCAATGGCTGCAGCAGAAAGGCGTTCGCAAATGATCCAGAGCCTCGCTACGGACCTGGGGATCGAGTCCAAATTGTCTTCAGTGAGACACGCTGACTTGACCGCGGCATTCCCCTACTGGATGGATTTGGAGCGCCGTGATGACGATGGCGAAGCTAACCTGCAGCCGGCGGCAATGTGTGGAGACGACGGCGACGCGGACGATCCGCACCCTTCTGGCTTGGTGGTGGTACCTGACA